CAATTAATCATACCATTTTTTTTAAATTAACTATACCAAACCAAACAATCTAAACAAAATCAACATATTTTGTATCCAACCATCTGCTTCACATTGCTTTTCGTAGTTTTAGCTTATACTCCCTCCTATTTTTTTTTAAATGTCATTCTAGTTTTTTCAACTATTTGCCAAATAAATGTGTTTTGGATCTTTTGTCCATATTTTTCCATTATTACTCTCATTTAGCCAATAAATACATTACGTTTTTTTATATGTCTTTTTATTTTTTCTCAAAACATTAATTTCTATCTTCATTAAATAAAGTGATTATTGATAAAAAAAATATTTTTAATTAGTTTGCAACTTTTTAAAACGACATATATTAAAATAGGAGGTAGTACTAGATATAAATCATAGAAGTCAATCTCATACCTCTGTCTCGAAAACAAAATCACCGGTCTGATTTTGTTCAATTTAATCCCCTGGAGAAGACACGCACTCTGCATCGCCTATCCACCGTCGTTAACCAGCAATCAATCGTCTTTCCATGGCGCTCAAGTTTCTGAACAAGAAGGGATGGCACACGGGCAGCCTCCGAAACGTCGAGAACGTGTGGAAAGCCGAGCAAAAGCACGAAGCCGAGCAGAGAAAGCTCGAAGAACTCCGTAAGCAGATCCACGAGGAACGAGAGAGAGCCGAGTTTCGTCAGCTCCAAGAACAAGCCGGCCTCATTCCGTACTTTCACCCCTTCCCTGAATTTGTTTCTGCCTTTCTAGGGTTTTTTTGAACTGGGTTATTTTCATTTTAGGGTTACTAGTTTTTCTTATTCAATTGTTATTTGCCTTTCAGGAAGCAAGAGCGATTGGACTTTCTGTATGAATCGGGATTGGCCGTTGGGAAAGGGAGTTCCAGTTTCAAAGCGCTTGAATCTTTACCAAAAACCGAACCTGATGCCACTGCATCAACATCATCTGCTTCTGCCAAGGTACTTGCTTGATTGAAGAATGAGTATGTTCTATATATGTCATGTGATAGATCTTCTGAAAGTTCAGTATTTCGTTGTAGCAATCGGCAGTGCCAGGAGCTCTTTTTGAGGAGAAATCTCAGTCGGCTAATGATGCGTGGAGGAAACTTCATTCAGACCCTTTGCTTTTGATCCGGCAGAGAGAACAAGAAGCTCTTGCTCGTGTCAAGAATAATCCTGTCCAGATGGCCATGATTCGCAAATCCGTAAGTCCTGAATCGCTTGTAGTAAGCTGCATATGACATGAACTCATTGCAGACCAATTTCTTAGTTGTGAATAATATGGTAATCAAGCTTGCTTCAAGAGTTTTTTATGACTAACAAAGCTACTGCGTTATTTTATACACTGGAAGGTTGCCGGATATGTATGTCACCCAAGTTGGTAGTAATTATGACCTTAAATGTTGGATAACATGTCGCTGTTTCCTCTCTCATCAATAGAACTACAAAACCTCCATCTTAGCCAATCTCTACTTAGCAATCATTCTACATGAATGGATTATACATTGCTGCTCACAAAGAAATGAAGGATAGCAAACATGACAATGTTTTATCTCCTTTGATCCTGTTTATTAAATAGGTACAAGCCTCGGAAGGAAAGATCCAACAGCTAAACTTCTTCCTTTCTGCCATTAACTGTTATTTTTGTGATGCCTAGGACCTGTAATGTGTGTGGAAATTGGACCACGTCAGGCCTATGGTGATGTTATGTTATATTTTTTAGTTGTGTCTAATATGATATTAGTGCGCATGGAATCGATACTTTTTATCCTTCAGAATGAAAGTTGTTTTTGGCATAGTTTAAAATGGCGACGCCTCGAGGCGAAGCGACCGAGGCGAGGGCTACATCGCCTCGCCACTGCCTGAGGCGACCTTGTTCTTGAGGCGCTAGCTTCAGGTCGCCTCGGCTCGCCTTTTCACGTGGCGAGAGGTGCCTGTGAGGCGCGCCTCAGCACCTTTCAGAGAAATTAAAGGTGCAGTACATTTATTTTTTTTAAAAAAAAGAGAATAAAATTAAAAGGCTCTTTCTTCACTTCATCTCCCAGACCTACGAAGTTTTAGACTGAGAATACGAAAGCTCTACGAAGTTTTAGACTGAGAATACGAAAGCTGAAGGTGAAAAATCCCCAAATGGGTTCTCCCCAAAATAGGGTTTCTGTGAAAGCACTCCTTAGGCTTCTCATGTTTGAAAATTGTAGAAACCCACGGCTGACCCATCCCCATTTCCGGCCTCCTCTGAACTCCGGCCACCATCTCGCCGCCAAGATGGTCGGTGATGCATGTTTTTTCCTTTCTTTTCCTTCTCCCTTATCTCTGTTTTCCTGTTCTACCTTCTCTCTTTTTCTTCTTTCTTCATTTTTTACATTTATTTATGTTTACTAGTATGGTCAATAGTCAAAGGTGAAAGGGTGCAACGTCTTTATTTCATTTACTTTTACTTTACACTTTTTATTTACCCTCTTTAACATTTTTCTATTTTATGTTACTGCACAGAGTAAATTCAATATTTTTTTTTTTTTGTAATGTTACTAGTATTCACATTTAAGTTTGAGATGCTTTTAGTAATTGCAACCAAATTTAATTTATATTATTTTCTTTGAGGATATTTAAGGTTATTTTTTGCAATTAAACTTAAATATATGATATTACTATCTATATAAATATATTTTTTAAGCTTTGATGGCTTGTGTTGCCGAGGCCTCGCCATGGCCAATCGCCTCGCCTCGTGGCGAGGCTATGGGCGAATCGCCTCGCCTCGCCATTCGCCATTTAAAACTATGGTTTTTGGAGATGTTCAGAATGAAAGTTGTTTTGGAAATGTTCTGTTGCTACTGACATATTATGAGAGCTTATTTGAAGCTTGTGAAATAGTGGTATATTAATAGATTTTGGGCTTTCCAGGTACAAGCAGAAAAGGAAAAGGACATTAAGAAACACAAGAAAAAGCACCATCACAGGAAGAAATCCAAACACCGTTCCCACTCCTCTGAAAACGAATCTGACCACGAAAAACAGAGAAGAAACCATCACAATAGTTCCAAACCCGACAAACCCTCCAGCAGGCGGGCCCACTCTTCCTTCGACGAAGAAACGAGCCGAGAGGATGCTCGAAGGAGGAAATATCGCGAGAAAAATGACGATCGTCATAAAAGTAAGACGAGCGATCATTACACTTCTCAACATCAAGAAACGCGGGGATATCTTGGTTCCTCTTCTGATAGGCCGCCAAGGCCTGGGCCCTACGACAGCAGCAAGCCTCGGAAGCCCGTTAAGCTTTCCGAGGAGGAGAGGGCGGCTCGGCTTAGGGAGATGCAGACAGATGCTGAGATACACGAGCAGCAGAGATGGAAAAGGCTGAAGAAAGCGGCTGATAGTGAGGCCCGCGAAGCCGTGAAGGATCAGGCTTCTGTAGGGAGGAATTTCTTGGATTCTGTTCAGAAAAGTGTGTATGGTGCTGAGAAAGGAGGGAGCAAGTCTATTGAGGAGAGCGTAAGGCGCCGGATGCATTACTCTCAGGGTAGATCGGCGGCCGAAAGCAATGCCTTTCGACGGTCTTGATCTGTTCATGGAATTCTTGGATTTTACTATATTTTATTATAATTTTCTGTCCTGAATTTTGTTTGTATTGAAAATTGTATGTGCGGGCCTCTGTTATTTGATTTAAGTTCGGACGAAATCTTATGTTCTTGTTCATTCCTGCTGACATGGCCATAATCCGACCTTGGAATGCTAGTCGATTGCCAGTCAACATAAGTCAGTATCGTATAAAGTAAGAATCGTATGGTTCGGTCATGGAGATGGGGACACTTTTAATGCAGGACTTCCGTGCATAGAAATCGATGACTTTAACGTGCATATAGTGGAAGAGTGTATTCTAGAGTGGAAGAAAGAGATGGTGAACAGGTGAAGAAATGTTGGCTGCATTTGAGGATTGCATGCATCAGCTACAAGAAGAAGAGAGCATTTTATGGCAGGTCAATCAGGACTTGTCGGACGATAATGAAAGTGAGAATCAAAGTTGAATGAGATCGAGTTAAAATGAGATTTCTACGTTTGAGCTCAAACAAACTTCTAACTAAGGGAGAATAATAGTTGAATGAGATCGAGTTAAAATGAGATTTCTACGTTTGAGCTCAAACAAACTTCTAACTAAGGGAGAATAATAGCGCCGAAGAGCTACAGATTGGAAAACAAGCTACAGTCATCCTATGGCAATAGGATCAAATATAGGGGATATGCACGTTTAGAATTAGAACTTCGCGCCATTTATGTTTATGTAATGCATTTCAGAGCTAGGGAAACCATATCTCATGCCTACACTTCTGTTCTAGAGCATGATTGCCACACACTTACATAATTATAAGGTGCTTCACACTTGATTACATGCGAGTCCATCTTGAAATGAAAAAACCGAGCCACCTAGTTGTGGAACAATAAATCTATTTGTACCTGGAAAAAGAGACTAGAATATTAGATGAATATGTTATCAATATATCTGACTGACCTGAATTTATCAGTTTTGCAATGGACTATTGGATGACACGGCTAATGTAGCCATCATTCACAACTATCACAAATGGTATATTCAATTCATGAATAACTCCATAAATGATCCATCAGCTGGCTCCATAACCTATTTGTCTGAGTCCAGAATTGCTGATATCCCTCAATGGAAAACCTTGATTTACTCTCCAATCAGAGTAATATTCAGTGTTTTACCCATTATTGCAGAGCCTTTATTTGACACCCCACTTTCAAAGAGACGATGGTTAAACAATGAAAACCAATTGAGAACAGGCAGAAAGTAGATTCTCAAACCCAGAAAAAGTATAATGTTACAAATTGTTCTCCCATAATATACACAAACATCGCCAAGTGACTTCTACGAAAACTTACGCCTTGTGCTCGAATAGAAAGTTTCAGTCAGTCGCAACCAAGGCCTCTATTATTCACTTCCCCGGCACCTGTCACCATTATTCGAAGAAAACATAACAGTCGGCCAAGTTACAACAAGTCGCAGATATCCATTTTCAGATATGCAATTCTAAATAAACTAAAGACAGACAATCTTGTTTGTCTCCAACTATTAGGCTCAATAAACTCGTAATGACGATTCACACTATACAGTCAAGATATGAGTTGTTCCTGCACCGATTGTACTGAAGGAGGCTGCCGTAGGTGCGGTCCCACACACCAATGAAAAGGGAATCCGTATCGGGACTGAATGAGACTCCAGATATCTCGCCGAAAAAGTCGATCTCCTGCTCCTTGTCATAATCGTTTTTCACATCGTACACATGGACAAAATCTGCCGGCTCGGCCATAGCCATGAACTGCCCATCAGATGAGAATCGGATGGAGCGTATGGCGCCAAGGTTTCCTTTGAGTACACAAACTGATCTGGAAAGGTTTCGGGCGTCCCACACCCGGCACGTCTTGTCCTGATTCCCAGTTGCAAAGACGTGGCCGTTAGGGTGCCATGCGGAGGCAAAAGAGAAGTCCAGATGCCCAGAAAGAGTCGCAATTGTCTATGAAACAAAAGAAAGTCACCATCTCAACCGAAATGAATATTATTAGAATTTCAGTGAGTAACTGGGATCCTAATATTCTTGAACTCGTATATTGTTTTCCAAAATAGTTTTACCTTCCCAGTTTGAGAATCCACGAGCATTCCCTCAGGATTGTCCCCAACAATAGCTAAAATCTTAGTATCTGGACTTAGAGCAGTATGCTGCATATAAATCAACACAAGCGTCAAATATATTCACCAGACAATAAAAAAAGAGAGCTCGAGCATGAATTCTCTCTCTCTCTCTCTCTCTCTCTCTCTCTCTCTCTCTC